GTTTCGATTTAAAGCTAAAGCTTCTGTTGGAGAGTGGATGAGGTTTTGGTAAATGAAAATCTCAAATGGTTTATTGATTGCAACAGTATTTTAATGAGAATTTGAAAGGTCATTAAGATTTGCGGCCGAGATTTTTTGGATAGTGAAAAGTCATTAAGTTTGGAAAATTTAGCAGGGATTTTTAAATCTCCTCGATATCCAATGAAAGCATTCATTGTAATTTCCTTTGTGGGCTTCATAATTTCGGTTTTATGTCTTGGAGGGAATTTGAAGAGTTGGATTTTAGAAGTTGGTCTACCTTTTTTGTTTATGCATGATAGTATTGAGGGAAGAGGAGTTGAAGAGTTTCTGAAGCTTTTTCCAATCAGCAGCCTATTTTTTTTTTCCCTTCTTAGCTGAAGTTGAAAGGTTCGGAGTCTTTCTATCTCCCATACTTGATTTTTTAAGACCTTAAGGGTTGGTTTTAATTTCATCAGAGGATATTCATGGTTAGCATTTTATTGTAATGGTTAGTTTGGTACTCTTCAGCTTTGGTGTTTTCCAAGTTCTTCAATAGTGGCGATTCAAATTGCTTCAAGGATGGATTTATCTAAAGCTTATCTTCCTATTTATGTCTATTATATTTCTTGTTCATTTGGGTTGTATTTTCCCTCTATGGGTTCCTTTTCCCCTTTTTTTTAAATTTAATTTTGTTTTTCTTCCGTTTGAGAGTTCATTGAATGTTTTTGCTCCCTTTCATTTATTAACGAGGAGTTTGTATCTTATATGTGAAAATCTTTACTAACTGAGAAGCCTTTTTGTAATCTCGTTAGCATAGTGGAGTTATCTTATTTTTCCTTTTATGTAACGACCTTACTTGAACAAGATCTGTTCTATAGGTTGTACAACTGTTTCCTCGAGTTCTTATTTTTCCTCTTATGTATGCTTTGTTCTCATCTTTTGATTATGAAATTTCTCTGTAGTTTCTTCTATATATATATATATATATATATATATATAAAGATATTGGAGGAGGGGGAGAGCTCTTGCTTATTTGCTACTTTGTGGAATATTTGGCTTGAAATAATTGTTAGAAGGATTGGGGTGAGTTGTTGCTTTCTTTTCTCTCATGAGGACTTGTTCGTTCGCCCATCCTTGACCTCATGGTGTAAACAAGAAGAAGATTTTATTGAATGAATCTTGCACTTGATGTTGAATGAATCTTGGAGCTGGTTGCACTTGATCTTGACCCATCTTAATTCCTTGTTCCCTCTGTTGAAAATCTTACTCCAATCTTTCTTGGTGTGTTTGTAATGTCAGATTATCCAACCGTGCCATTACGTCTTGCAAAAATTGATGAATCTCCACCACATTCCTTTGGACATTTTCTACTACCCCTTCAACCATCATAAGCCGATTGGTTGTGGATTGTGGGGAGAGGACAGGGTGCTGCTCCGCTTTTTTGTTGTCAGCGAGGAATCCCCACATTGGATGGGTTTTTCCTCACTGCCTTTTCGAGCCGAAGACCAAGGTGCTCTGATACCAACTTGGTGTAACCAAGAAGAAGATTTTTTTGAATGTAGGAAAATCTAAACAATAATGAAGAGGAAGGAGGAGGCCTTGAAAATAAATCCTCTAAACGGCTAGGCTAAAAACAAACTAACAGATTAACTAAAACAACCAACTAAACAAGAAAAGCCTATAAGGCTATAACAATCTATAATGACTACATCATCTCAATTTAACTAGCTTGCTAGCATTTTGTGGAAAAATGCGATGATGGCAATTCTATGGAGATTATGGCATGAAAGGAATTAAAGGATTTTCAATGGGGAGGAGTTGTGTATAGAAAATCTATCGGACTTGATTAAGATTCTTCTTGACATTTACTTTTTAAAGCATTTTGTAATTATGATCTTTTGCAAATTTGTGCCAATTGGGAATTTATTTTTTATTTTATTTATTTATTTGTTTTTTTTGGTAATCTCTTGGCCTTGGGGAATATCTCATCTCCGTCTGTTTGTACACACCTTTTTGAATCAATATATTTTTCTGTTTCTTATCAAAGAAGAAAAATTGTTAGAAGGATTGTAGTTCTTGAGCGTCCCACCTTTTCCTTGCTTTGGAAGTTGGAAATCCCATAGGAAGGTTAGATTTGGCATGTGTTGCTCCTTAGAGTGAATACTTGATTGTGTGTGTGTCTTAAGTTATTCTTCTTTGTGGTGGGGTCGTACTGGTAGGGGTGTACATCAGTCAGTCGGGTTGGTTTTCAAGCCAAAACTCTCGTTGATCGACATATAATCAGTTTCCATTTTTGGCCGAATAAGTAAAGCTTTTTCCGACCGATCAAACAATCATTCGGTCGGTT